AATTTTATAAGGAATCTTTATGACAATGGAGCGCCTGCGGATTCCACAAAACACAAGTGAGGAATTGGACAGGAATCCTTCGGAAAAAAGGGCGCCGCTGAAATGTACGACTCCTCCCTGGTCCGCCCGCATCATCCTAGCTCCTCCCATGTGCGTCCAGGAGTCTCCAGCAAAATTGTCCGTCCAAGAACTAAGTGGAGTGATTCAATCGACCATTATGCGGTGCACCCTGAGACGCGCACGTGCGCTGTAGCGCCGACCCGCACGACAGGGGGGAAGGGTGAGGGAACAGGAGGAGGAGGAGGAGGAGGAGGAGGAGGAGGAGGAGGAGGAGGAGGATGGGGAGGAGGAGGAGGAGAAAGAGGAGGAGGAGGAGGAGGAAAAAGAGGAGGAGGGAGAGGGGAAGAACGTCGCAGTCTATTATCAGCACTTCCCTGGCGTGGCGTTTAGCTGTCCGCAGCAGATCCTCACCGACATGTTCCTTCTATTTGTCCTGTGCACGCAGTCAGTGTGATGTACACCAGCGCTGCGTTGCGCGCGGATGTCGTGGTGCAAAAAAGGCGCTGTGGTGTGCACGCGCTGCGGTGCACGCAAGCATTGTGGTGTACACAGACGTTGTGTTGTACATGGTTGCTGCGGTGTACACATTCGCTGTGATGTACACCCGCGTTTTGGTGCACGCAAGCACGGTGGTGTACACAGGCGTTGCGTTGCACACGGCTGTTGCTCGTCGTTCATCGTCGTCGTGCGCGCGGGCGAGGCTGTGGTGCCGGAGCCAAGCGGCATGGGGGGGGGCGTTACGTCATACCCGCCCGCCGCCATGCCGAAACTAAACAATCGCTTTCCTTGAACGCCTTGGGGAATGTCGGGGCGCCCAAAGAGCCCCGCGAGAGGGGGGAGGATGCACGCGGAAGTCTGATCACCTCGGCTTCTTCGCTGCTCACTGCAGTACTGAATGGACTCCCCCCTCTCCCGCCGCCGGCATTGATTTTGGCCAGCGAGCCCGCCGCCATTTTGTTGGCTGTTCCCCGCGCTTGTTTTTGAACACGAATTTGCAAGCTCCGGCGCTTTGGAGCGCCCGCGCGCGCGTTTCGATCATGTTGTGGCATTGCAAGTCGGTGCGCTAGAACGACATACCAAAAAACTACCGGATAAACCTGGTTCGACGTTTGAGTCGGCCAGGTGATAGTTAAAGTCAGAGCCGATAATCTTTTTCAGTTTCGTGGCTTGTTTTATTCAAGTGATTCACCCGCAGCACCCAAGACGGTGCCCATGTGCGGCCATGCTGTATTCAACTGGTTCCAAAGCGCAGCCCGCCATAACGCATCGATGCTCGTTCCAATTTGGAATAATGCGCGGCGGATGTTTTGGGGAATTCCCCAGAAGATTCGCCGCCAGTTTTTTATAGCGAGTTTGAACTCATTGATCTGAGCTTGTCTGTCCCGCCGTCATTTTTTGGGGAGCGCCAGATGCTGCTGTTCACTATTTTCCCCGCCGCCGGTGTGTTTTGAGATATGGAGTATTTTCGTTTGCTTCGGGCGCGATGGAATCTGTGATTGGGAGGGGGGGCCCTCGGAAGATTACAGAAACTTTGCCAGGCAGCATTTGGCATTCTACGTGCTACGACGCCTCAACTTGCCAGGAGGCACGGTGGCGGAAATTCATCAGGGTTCGTACTCTTCCAAGTCCACAAGCCTCGCCACCTCCCGCCACCAGCCTGGACCGAACGGACTACGCGCACGCCGTGCTATTTATGAGAGTTCTTACCCTCCCCATTTCAAACCGAGATGTGTAGTTTGATTCGCGCCCACCCCACTCCACCAGCCCCACCAGCGCCACGTGTCTCCTCCCCGCCAGGGAGGCCGCGTCGGACCGCGCGGGTTGTGTGCATCCCGTGCTTCTTTATCTGGGTTCGTGCCTTCTCCACAAGCCATACCAGCAGCCCACCATCGCCACGTTTCCCCCTGCAGGGATGGCGGGGTTCGTGCCCTCCCCACTCCCGGCCCCACTGGGGCCAAGTTTCCCTGGACCATGGAGGCTGCGTCGGACCGCGCGGGCTATGCGCATCCCGTGCTGCTTATCTGCATCGCGCCATTCCCATTCCACCCGCCCCACCATCAGCCCCACCAGCGCCACTTTCCCCCCACCAGTCATTTATGTGGGTTCGTGCCTTGCCCACTCCACCAGCCCCGCCCGCGCCACGTTTCTCCTTCGGGGGCAGCCGCGTCGGACCTAGCGGGCTACGCGCACACCCAATCATTTCTCAGGGTTCGTGCCCTCCCCTTTCCACCAGCCCCACCAGTCAGTCCACCAGAGAAAGGGGGAGCTCAGGCCCTTTCCGGGAAAACCTCTTGGTGTCGTAAGGACTCCAACATCGTAGCCTTTTGGGCTCAAAGTTTGTTCAGGTGCCGCGGCTCGTTCTTCCGCAGACCTGCGCCCCGCGCCTCTGTGTCTTCTCCTCGCACGCATGTCTGGGGCGCCTCCGTCGGCGCCGCCGCGCACCGCCGCCCTGACGAGCGGCGGCTGTCCACAGACGCCCGCCGGCCGCGCCAGCGAGGCTGGGGCGCGCGCTGCCGGGCCGCTGGTCTCGGCCCCGGGGCCGCCGCGCCCCGCCGCCCCAGCCGCCGCTAGCTGCGGCCACCCCGAGGGCGGGGCTGCCGGCCCTGGGGCGCTCGCCGCGGCCCGGGCCGCGCCCCGCAGCTTCGGCCGAGGCGGAGGCCCGCGGGCCGAAGGCCAGGGCGGAGGCGGCCCGCAGGCCGAAGGCCACGGCGCCGCACGCGACGGGGGCTGCCGGGCCTCGGCCGAGCGTCGCGGCGCTGAGGGCGGCGGAGGCCGCGGCGCCGCACGCGGCCAGGGCTGCCGAGTCTCGGCCAAGCGTCGCAGCGCCGCGCGCGGTGGAGGTGCGCGCCTCGGCCGCCAACCCTCCCACGCGCCCGCCGTTCCCATCGCCCAGGGCCAGGGCGGCGAAGCACCCCCGCACCCCCCCGCTGCCCCCTCGCGGCAGGAGTGGCCCCGCAGCGGCCGTTCCGCGCCAGAGGCGGGCCGTTCGTGGCGCTTTCCCGCCGGTTCCGACCCCTGGGTCTCAGGACGCACTTCGCAGGCGCCGCCAGTGCCGTCGGTGGCAACTTGCGCGGAGACCATGCACTCTTGGGAGGGCGCCGCGGAGCCAGCTGGGCCCTTGATGACTGTCGAGGCCTTGCGGTCGGTGAGCCCAGAGCGGCTGGTCGTTGCTTTGGTGGGGCCCCGCCAGGAGCAGCGCGGTCTCGGGGAACTCCCGGCGAGGGCCTGGGCAGAGATGTCGCAGCTCAGAGAGGAGTCGGCGACGCAGCGGGCAGCGGCCGCTGCTGCCAGGGAGCTTTTGACGAGCGCCCAGGCAGAAGTGTCGCGGCTCAAGGAGGAGCCGGCGATGCAGCAGATCGCGGCCCAGGCAGCGGCGTCGCGGCTCAAGGAGGAGGCGGCGACGCAGCAGACAGCGGCCGAGGCGGCCCGGGCAGACATGTCGCGGTGCAAGGAGGAGTCGGCGATGCAACAGAGAGCGGCCGCTGCGGACGGGGAGCTCTTGACGAGCGGCCAGGCAGAAGTGTCGCGGCTGAAGGAGGAGCTGGCGACGCAGCAGTGGGCGGCCCAGGCAGATTTGTCGCGGCTCAAGACGGAGGCGCGCTGCAGACAACGGCCGAGGCGGCCCGGGCACAGATGTCGCGGCACAAGGAGGAGTCGGCGATGCAACTGACAGCGGCCGCTGCGGTCGGGGAGCTCCTGATGAGCGCCCAGGCAGAGGCGTCGCGGCTGAAGGAGGAGCTGGCGTCGCAGCAGAGGGCGGCCCAGGCAGCGGCGTCGCGGCTCAAGGAGGAGGCCGCGACGCAGCAGGCAGCGGCCGAGGCGGCCCGGGCAGACATGTCGCGGCTCATGGAGGAGTTGGCGATGCAACAGACAGCGGCCGCTGCGGTCGGGGAGCCCTTGACGAGCGGCCAGGCAGAAGTGAGTGTCGCGGCCGAAGGAGGAGCTGGCGACGCAGCAGAGGGCGGCCCTGACAGACACGTCGCGGCTCAAGAAGGAGGTGGCGACGCCGCAGACAGCGGCCGATGCGGACCGGGCAGAGATGTCGCGGCTCACGGAGGATCAGGGGCAACGATGGGGGGGGATGGGCATGTACATCGACAAAATGTTGCATCACTTTTGCTGCGCATTGGCACCTGCATTGCATTGCTCTTCCCCCCCCCCCCCTCCGCTCTTTATTTCGGGGGCATGGCGAAGAGCCCCTGTTCCGCCCGGGGGCACCCGTCGAAATGTTGCACCGCCGAGCTGTTTCGACCAGCCCGGGCCGAACCCAATATTAAGATCGGGGGGGGGGGAGAACAAATCATTGATATAACAGCGATGCGATTTATTGCCAGCGCCAGGTGGTGCAACATTTTGCCGATGCACCGTGCGTCGACAAAATGTTGCACCAATTCTGCTGCGCGTTCGCACCTGCACTGCGTTGCTCTTGCCCCCCCTTCCCCCCGATCTTAATATTGGGCGCATGGCGAAGCCCCCTGTTCCGCCCGGGCCCCCCCGGCAAAATGTTGCACCACCGAGCTGTTTCGACCAGCCCGGGCCGAACCCAATATTAAGATCGGGGGGGGGGGGGGGGACAAACGATTGATATAACAGCGATGCGCTTTATTTCCAGCGCCAGGCGGTGCAACATTTTGTCGATGCACCGCAGGGGAGGATGCATCGACCCCCAATCGCCCATTGATCGCCGATTGGGGCCCGAAAGCCCCAATCTGCCCATCAGGAAGGCGCGGATTCACTATCGGGGGCCTAGCGCCGATCTATCAGCGATGCATCGCCGACCCCAGATCGACGCATCCCCCACCATGCCAGCCCCCCCCCCCGTCGCTGCCCCCCAGAGGAGGCGGCGGCGCAGCAGGCAGCGGCCGAGGCGGCCCAGGCAGAGCTTTCGCGGCTGACGAAGAGAGAGCCGGAGGCGCAGCAGACAGCGGCCGCGGCGGCGGATGTCGCCATCGGCGAGGCGCGCGCAAATTCCCGGGCCAATGACGCGGAGGACAGCTGGAGCATAAGCTTGTGGATCAGGCCCTTGAGCCTACACTCCCCCGTCGAGAAAGCTCTGCCAGCGCCGGGCGGCAAGGGCCCCCTTCAGTTCGTCCGTGCAATACAAAGCATGGAGCTCGATGCCCTCTTGATTTTTTTTTTTTGAAACCAAAAAAAAAAAAAAAAAAAAAAAAAGGTGCCTGCTGGGGCTGCGCCCGTGCCTCGAAGAGGGCATTGAGGCAGCGCGGGGGACGAACTCCACGGCGCTTGAGTTGAATGCAAAGTTCCAAGAGGAAGGCTCGTTCAGCCTGGAGTTTGGCAGTCTGGATCGCTTCTACGGTAGCCTCACTGGTAGGCCCTGTTCGCAAAATCGGAGGATCGATTGAGAAGGCCATGGGGCGCGAGCATTGCAACGAACAGGATTGCACGGGCGAGTTCACGTCCAGCAACGGAGTGACAAAGCGGCCCAATCTCGAGCGGGAGTTCGTCGAGAAGCCCATTGCTGGCAAGAAGTACCCCGAGCGTTTCGAGCCTGGGGGCAGTCGTTGCCGCTGCGCCTGCACGCGGGAGGAGTTGGTGGCGAAAATGGAGGACAAGAACGCAACGCTTTCAGAGAGTGGTCACAGCGAGCTCATTGTTGAAGAGGCCATGGCCGCCACTTTGTACACTGGGCCAATGTACCACAAGTACAACCTGGTGCTCCGTGCCAAGACGGGCAAACCATTTCTCAAGGAGCGCTTCGACAATATGTTCAATGGGAATGTCTACGCTTCCACGCTGCACGGCATAAACTCCTTCATCGTGAAGATGTCCAAGATCACATCGGCCTGCACCCTCTGGCGCGGGTCCACGCAGGCGAATTGACCAGGGAGCTTCACGAAACATGACAAGTGGAACTTACGAGGCGGCATCGAATTTGGCTTCACGTCGATGGCGCAGGATCGCGCTCAGGCGGTGCACCACGCTGAAGGCGCGGCCTCGACAGCGTTCCAGGCTCGCCGAGGCCTAGTTGACCGAGGGGCAGAGATGAAGTGGATCAGCCGGTATCCGCACGAGGCGGAGATTCTCTTCTCACCCTTGCTCGGCCTGGAGATGATCGGCATCTCAGTCGACCACGGCGCGTCGCTGGTGGAGCTGCGCTTGAGCCTGAACCTGGCGGCGGAGACGCTGGACCAGATCACGTCGAAACGTCAGGCTCTGATGAAGGAAGCCGCAACGAACGGAGAGTTGGAGATCTTGGCCGCCGCGAGAGACCAGCGGAGCCCGGGCCCCTTCGCCGCCCTGGCGAGCGCTGCTTGGAAGGGCTACCCGCTGGAGCACGACGCCCAATGGCACAACAACGACGATCACTTCTTGGACTGCATGAAGGAGCTGATGACGATCAAACAGGAAGTCCAGAAACTGGAGGACCTACGGAGCGAGGAGCTAATCCAGGCCCTTGGCGCGTTCACGGCGGGGCGCCCCGCCTACCGCCAGCCGATGTCAAAGTTGGGCCTCGGAGGCCGAAAAGACGTCGAGAAGTTGCCCGAGAACCTCTTCGGCTTCACGCAGCTACAGACGCTGGACCTGCGCGGCTGCCGGGCCCTGCAGGCCCTGCCCGAGAGCCTGGGCCAGCTCTCGGCGTTGCAGACGACGATGCTGTTCCTGAGCGGCTTCCGGGCCCTGCAGGCCCTGCCCGAGAGCCTGGGCCAGCTCTCGGCGCTGCAGGGGCTAAACCTGCGCGGATGCCGGCTCTGCAGGCCCTGCCCGAAAGCCTGAGCCAGCTCTCGGCGCTGCAGACGCTGGACCAGCGCGGCTGCCCGGCCCTGCAGGCCCTGCCCGAGAGCCTGGGCCAGCTCTCGGCGCTGCAGACGCTGGACCTGCGCGGCTGCCGGGCCCTGCAGGCCCTGCCCGAGAGCATGGGGCCAGCTCTCGGCGCGCAGACGCTGGACCTGCGCGGCCTGCCTTTCTTTTCTTGCGTCTGCCTGTGCCCCCGGGCCCTGCAGGCCCTGCCCGAGAGCCTGGGCCAGCTCTCGGCGCTGCAGAGCGACCTGGCGGCTGCCGGCCCATGCAAGGCCCTTGCCCAGAGAGCCTTGAGCCAGCTCTCGGCGCTGCAGACGCTGGACTTCTTCGGTGGCGGGCCTGCAGGCCCTCTGCCCGAGAGCCGGGCCAGCTCTGCGCGCTGCACAGGTGGGACTGTGCGAATGTGCCGCCCTGCAGGCCCTGCCCGAGAGCCTGGGCCAGCTCTCGGCGCTGCAGACGCTGCAGCTGTGCGAATGTGCGGCCCTGCAGGCCCTGCCCGAGAGCCTGGGCCAACTCTCGGTGCTACAAACGCTAACCCTGTACGAATGTGCGGCCCTGCAGGCCCTGCCCGAGAGCCTGGGCCAGCTCTCGGCGCTGCAGGGGCTAAACCTGCGCGGATGCCGGGCCCTGCAGGCCCTGCCCGAGAGCCTGAGCCAGCTCTCGGCGCTGCAGACGACGGTCCTGCGCGGCTGCCGGGCCCTGCAGGCCCTGCCCGAGAGCCTGGGCAAGCTCTCGGCGCTGCAGACGCTGGACCTGCGCGGCTGCCGGGCCCTGCAGGCCCTGCCCGAGAGCCTGGGCCAGCTCTCGGCGCTGCAGACGCTAAACCTGTACGAATGTGCGGCCCTGCAGGCCCTGCCCGAGAGCCTGAGCCAGCTCTCGGCGCTGCAGACGCTGGACCTGCGCGGCTGCCGGGCCCTGCGGGCCCTGCCCGAGAGCATGGGCAAGCTCTCAGCGCTGCAGACGCTGCACCTGTACGAATGTGCGGCCCTGCAGGCCCTGCCCGAGAGCCTGAGCCAGCTCTCGGAGCGGCAGACGCTGGACCTGCGCGGCTGCCCGGCCCTGCAGACCCTGCCCGAGAGCCTGGGCCAGCTCTCGGCGCTGCAGACGCTGCACCTCTACGAATGTGTGGCCCTGCAGGCCCTGCCCGAGAGCCTGAGCCAGCTCTCGGCGCTGCAGACGCTGGACCTGCGCGGCTGCCGGGCACTGCAGGCCCTGCCCGAGAGCCCGGGCCGGCTCTCGGCGTTGCAGACGCTGCACCTGTACGAGTGCGGCCCTGCAGGCCCTGCCCGAGAGCCTGAGCCAGCTCTCGGTGCCGCAGAGGCAAAACCTGCGCGGCTGCCGGGCCCTGCAGGCCCTGCCCGAGAGCCTGGGCCAGCTCTCGCAGCTGCGAGTCCTGAGGTGGCCTCTCGCCCGGCGGGCCAGAGCCCGCGCCCACGTGCGGCCGCTCGCCGCCCCGGGATCTCGGGGGCAACAAGGGTAGGCCCATCAATTTGGGGGAGCCGCGGTCGAGGAGGGCGCCGGCACGCCCGCTGGCGGGCGCCTTTTGCACGCGCACGAATGATATTGATAAGTGTGTTGGTGGATCGGCCTTGACGGATTGATGATTGTGATATTAATAAGTGCGTTGCTGGATCCGCCCTTGACGGAACTGTTGCATCCTTTTTCTTTGCCGCAGTATTGGGGGGCTCTACTCCAGAGGAGGAGCCTTCCGGTCGCGCGGCCGCCCTGCGGTTCCAAGAGGTGCGATCGCGAATTCAGTGGTGACCGTCCAGAGGGCGATCCGCCTCATGCTCGCCCCTTCCTCCTGCAAGTGCGTTCCTCAGATCCCAGTTGGCTCCCTCCTCGCCCGATCCGTCATCGGCCATCCTCGGCTCGGGCTGCCGAAAATTGATGCTGCAAAACACAAGGTTTTGCAACATCCGTTTTCAACAAACATGATCGACCCACGAATCCGGAAAGGAATATAGAAATGTAGGGCATGGCCACACTTGATTGGGCGACGGGCAATTGCAATGCTGAGTGTATCGACATTGATGTACCGTGCGGAGGGCTGTGCTGTGCTGCGCCGTGTTGAATTGCGATGTGCCATGCCGCGACTGTGCTCTATAGCGCTGTGGATCGAGTCCTCCTTTGCATCCGAGTCCTGACCGAACTGATTTGGATCTTCAGCTCGAGCTGCCTGAGCACATAGTAACTGGCTCAGAGGTAGTTGACAGGGGGACATGCCAGGAGGACGCGCCGCGGAACGTCCCAAGGGCATCGTGCCAGGGGATGAGGAGGAGGAGGTGGAGGAGGAGGAGGAGGAGGCGGAGGAGTATGAGGAGGAGGGGAAGGAGGGTGGGGTTGTACGTGGCGTCGGAGGAAGTGGAGGGCCACCTGGAGGAGCGCTGCGTGCCGCGACGAGGAATGAGATGTGGGATTCGTGACGCAGTGCCCGGAGGACATGTCTTTGTTCTTGTTGTTCCATTTCCTTGCGTCTCTTGTGCCACCCGCCTTGACAACGCGACCCGCTTGCAACTGTGATGCGGGGATGGCGCATCGAGGAGATGCAGAGCATGCATGGCACAGCTTGCCGCCCGTTCGGAAAATCTATTCAGGCACTGTTCGACGAGGATGCCCCCACCCGCGAGAAGGTGAGGGCGTGCCTGCACTTCATCAACGAATACGACCCAGGGACTCGTTGGGAGTTAACCCTCTCGCTGAGGAGTCGTCTGCGTCTACTTGCGAGCCGTACCCCTGCGGGTCCAATCGACGCTGGGGTATCCGACACCATCGTGGGGTTCCGCTGGCTGCAGACATCGCTCGAATTCTGAACCCCAGGCGGCGCTTCAGAAATCGGACCTGCAGGGATAGGCTTCGTTTGTGGTTGCCGAAGTGGCCCTTCACTGCCAGGGGCCAGTCGTGTCCGTTTGAGGCGTTCCAGAAACGGCCATGCCTTCGAGGATCGAAGGAGTTGCCATCCCTCCCTCGGCGGAAGACGGTGGAGCGTCAGTGGAAGGCGGCGGAGGTAATGATCTTGACTATGTACCCAACCCTTGCGCAACGCGTGGCCAGAACAGCTGAGTAGACGTTATGGGGCGTGGTGACGTGGCAGAGGAGCATCTGTTCTGCGAGCGTCACTTGGGAGGCTCGCGAGCTGCGCGACTCGCAGCACAGCGATCGATAGACAAGGGCTTGATGGAGGTACTCAGGCCCCATGCTCGACGGGGAAGAGGGCGGCAACTAGGGGGAGACGGCAGATGGGGAGCCGAAAAGTCAGCGGGGTAGCAGAAGGCTACCTTCGAAAGTGGCGACGGTTTCGCAGATCGCAGCCCCGCGCAGCCCCACAGGGATGATGAGGTCTAATCTGAGTCTGCGTATGACGTCACTATGCTGGACCCCCCCAGCAGGCCTCGAAAGTGGCGACGGTTTCGCAGATCGCAGCCCCACCAGGGATGGCGAGGTCTAAGCTGAGTCCGCGTGAGGCGTCGCTGTGTTGGTCACCCCAGCAGCCTTCGAAAGTGGCGACAGGTTCGCAGATCGCAGCCCCTAATGGATGGCGAGGACTCATCCGAGTCCGGTAATGGCGACACCGTGCTGGTCCCCCAGGGGCAGCTTTCGAAAGTGGCGACGGCTTCACTGGCCGCAGCTCCCCGGGGACGGCGAGGTCTAACCTGAGTCTGGGTATATCTGGGTATGGCGACACTGCTGGCCTCTCCAGCAGCCTTCGAAAGTGGCGACAGGCTCGCCGATCGCAGCCCCCAGGGAAGGGCGAGGTCCAGTCTGCGCCTGGGTCCAGCGACACTGCTGGCCGCCCCGGAAGGCCCCGACACGGCGGCGGCAGAGCTTCGCAGGTCGCAGCCCCGCAGGGGTGGCGAGGCCTTGTCTGAGTCTTGGTATGCCAACACCGTGCTGGCCCACCCCAGCAGGCCTCGAAAGGGGCGACGGTTTCGCAGATCGCAGCCCCCCCAGGGATGGCGAGGTCTAGTCTGAGTCCGCGTGCAGCGTTGCTGTGCTGGCCCCCCCAGCAGCCTTCGAAAGTGGCGACGGGCTCGCAGATCGCAGCCCCTCAGGGAATGGCGAGCTCGGAGGCAGGTACGAGAGAGGTAAGAGGACATAGAAAGAGAGAGGGGAAGGAGGGGGTGGGAAAGGAAGGACGGGACCACAGTTCTCTAGTCAAGACGAGAGCCCAACACAGGATGGCTGGGAAAAAGGGGCCACCTCCACCAGCGGAAGCCAGCAGAAGTAAAACACACACACGCCCCCGAGAGAT